CTGCCTTTCACAAACCCACACTGACAGGCCCGATCGCCTCCCGTACACGCTGCGTGATGGCACTCAGGATGCTCTGCTCCATAACCTTCCCGGCACAGGAGGTTGGACAGACAGACCTGTAGTTCCCCAAATCTTCCTTCCAGCTCTTCTTGCAGGTGGTGTCACACTGGCCAACACCCAGTCACTGGGACCCCACCAGTGAGCCAGGGCTGCTGACAGGCGATCTGTGGCTTGGTGAGCACTTCCACCAGTTCCCTCAGCATCCTTGGGTGATCCCACCCAGCCCCATAGACCTGTGGGTTTTTAAGTGGTGCAGCAGTTCATATAACTCTGCCTATGACTACATTTAACAAAGAACACTAAAAAAAAAAAATACATCAGCTTGCAAGAAAGTTGCATTCAGAAGTTCAGAACTCCCAGAATGAACATGGTCTCCTTGTGAGAACAGACGGTGCGTATCATTTCTCCACAAACCAGATCCATTGATCTCACTGGGGACCCAGGATTAGCTGTCCCAAGCCATCTCGTGCAGTTCATCTCTTTATACCCAACTCTGTAGTTCATAAAGATTCATATGGCCTGGCTGCAAGTCTCTTGCTCTGGTATATAAAGATCCAAACTGACTGGGTAAGATCAGTTGATGGTACGCAGAGTGCCCTGCTCTCCACTTCCAGTTCTGATTCCTGGCTTTCAGTACTACTGATGAGCCCATTACACAGACGCAAAGGTTTTGAGAGGTGCATTCGATTGCACTCACCTGGGCTTTCTCTCTCTTGGCTCGAAGCAGTGTATCCTGGTAATGCTGTGCTACCTTTGGGGCAACACCCTCCAATTTTGCTGCAGGAATCTGTAAGGCTTGAATGGTCTTTTTGGTGTCCCCTTCATCCAGAGCTTCGTTGATAAGACCAATTGCCAAAATTCCTAGGGAGGAAGGCACAGGGAGAGAAATACAAAATGCCATTTTTGGTCAACAAAAATCATAAGCATTGCTTCAGATGGAAAGTGCAGTTAGTCTTTCCTAAACTGGCTGAGAACGGCAACATTTTTAACAGAAAACATTATTTACTGGTAGAGCAAGGAAGATACTTCTCCACCTTAAAGCAGTCCTAATGCCTGGCACAGCAATTAAAAAACCAAAAAAATCATTACTGTGGGACCCCACACGAGGGACAGAACTGAGTCCTCAGACACCCCGCTCAGAGCCACTCAAGAGACTTATCAAAGCCCAGATGGCCAGAGGTCATAGGATACCGTTTTCCAAGGTTCTGGCTTCTCTAGAAAGGAATCTTCACAGGAACCTAAGGATTTGCATGGAGCACCATTTACAAACACAGCAACTTCGGATGTCAGAAAACTCAAACTCGTGTAGCTCCAGCCGCATTATCAGCGATGGGGATGCTGAGAATCAGCATTCCGCTGAACAACCAAAACAACTCTCTCACAGTTCGCTAACGCAATCAGCCTGCACCACATGTGCCCTACACACAGCAACCACCTCCTGCCCCAGGCCGAGATGGATCCCAGAGCTCAACTGACTTGAGCCTCTGCTGAAGGAAGGATCAGTTCTGGTCAGCGCGGAACGGAGACAAAAGCAAGCGAGGGGCTCAGCAGGGGGATTTCCAACCTTCATTAACGTATCCAAAGATTGTGACTTTTTCTTCTATGCAGGAAAGACAACCACAAACCAAAAGTCTCTATGAAAACCAGAACATCCTGGGGAAGAGGTGGCATTTGGACGGAGTAGAGACTAGGGAAGAATGTATGTTGAGGACACCACAAGAAGCAGTATCACACGTGGTTGCTGTCCAAACACGGATATGGTGACTGTTTGACATGGGCAAGGGCATGGAACCTGAGCAGTAATGCCCTCTGCCGAGTTTGCCAGTACAGGCACGGCAGCAACAGCAACGTCACGGCTCCTCGCTAGGATGCAGTCCGTAATTTGGAACTCGACACAGACAGTGAGAAGGAAAAGGATGAGTTCGTATGCCTTGAGGACCTTCCCAGGCTAATTCAACTCCCCCACAGGCAGAGGGTTACGTGTCCTACACAGGGGCACGCGTGAGGCAGATCAAAGAGCGAGGAAATTCCCCGTGAGAACGTATCACACTACGGCATTTTCTGCACCTTCTTTAACAGGATAACGAGTGCTGTAAGAAACAGGGCGCTGGGCCTACCCGAGCTTGCAGACTTTGCCGTGACCGCTTACACAGAGGAGGCTGCGCAATGAGCATCTTGGTGCGCGCACACCTCGCTCCGGGGCTGGTCACGGGGCTTCAACAAATCTGCTTGTGCACCCCAAACAGGAAACGCAGCGTCTATTTGGAGATCCAGGAAACAGTTCATCAAGATAGCAGGTGCTTAGATTAAAATGTAAGCCTCTCTAAAGTCTGTTCAGGGTGAAACACAACTACAAGTGGCAGAAGACACCGTTCTGTCTCAGGGGACAATGTAAACCATATCTCCTCCACACACGCACTAAATGTCCCCACTCTCACGCAGGGCTGTGAGCTGCGTGTTACAAAGATGGCCTGAAAGCAAAAGTCATGCTACTTGCACATGCAGGAGGCTTTCAGAACTGGTCAGAGCCAAAAATGATGGTCCCTTAATGAAAAAAATGAATAGGAAATTAAAGCACCTGATACTGACCCGCACCAGGATCTACCTACACATCGGCTTGTTGACTGGTCTATTTCCAAGGACCCCTCTCTCTCCACTGGAGATATTAAGTCAACCAGTACTGCCTTAGAGCCAGGAGAATTACTCCAATTTCCTGTTCTGCTGAAGCTTTCTTCATTATTCTCAACCCCAGCCTTCTATCACTGCTAAGGGCGCTTCTTACCATAAACGCCAGTGACAAGTGCAAATGATGCAGAGCCAGGGCAGCACGGAGCAGCGGTTACCACCTGGCCACGTTTCTCGGCTTATATCAATTTTTTCCTTCGTGAGTATTTTAAGTTTTGGTACTCACACTTGCTGCGCACAGTTAGAACTTCTACGGGGTCTCGCATATTCTACAACTGCTGACAGCTTTTGGGGGTTTTTTGCACTTTACACTATGTGTATGGAAAGGCAACAGCTGTGCAGGCACAGCCTTCTGCTGCTCAGCAGATCAGTCAGTCACTGCAGCTTCTACAGGTGCTGGTTTTAACAGCTGGCGGTCGCATGCAGTGTTAGAGCAGATAACAGCTTCTCATTTCCTGATGGAATTAACTGCAAACAAAGCAATGAACCTCTTAAAAGATTGACACTTTCCATTCCAACTTGTAATTTGAGATTTGAGTTCCAGTATCTGGAACTTAAAATTTGAATGGCATCAAACTGATGAGATAACTAAATGTTCTTTGAAAAAAGAAAGGTCTGTATCAAATGTTTTAAGACAAACCATTTGAATATGTAACTGCTGAACAGACAGCACTTGAGAATAAATGTTCTTGGGCATCTCTCTTGAGTCATCACTGAATCAAAGTAACTGCAAAAGCCTATTTCCTTGATGCAGTATTTGCACTATTCCTCCCAGAGAAGCTGTCATCTGGAAGCCATCTTAACACAGCCAGGAGTTAAAGGGCTGAGAATAAGACCTGGCACTAAACTTATCTCTCTGTTGTTCATCCAAGCTCCTCATCCACTGTAGAAATGCGTCTAGATAGATGGACAGTCAGCAATAGAGAGGTGGGAAGCTCGTCTTGCATCCGGAGGCCAGATTACCCACAGACACAGTAGAGAGGGATCCAGGACTGAGTCTATAGAACTGCCACTAAATACTGGAAAGGTAAAAAGGCCAAAGCACATTCAAAAGGAGGACTAAAAGGGAGAAGAGGAAAACCTGAACAGGGCAGAGACTGCAGCCAAAGAGAGAACAAGGCTTCAAGAAAAGTAACCTATCTGAACACAACAGAAGAGGAAGGAGGATGGAGTAGTCCAAGACTGGGCTACAGTTAACTCAAAGATCTTGGTTTTCATTACTTTAGGGATTGAAGCAAAATCAGAAAAGACTCTAGACTCATCCTAGTCACTGATGGCAGACAATGTGTTTTGTTGGCCAAAAAGGGTTGAAATTTGTATGGGAAGGACTAAGAAACTGTTTGGAGATACTGATTTCAGTACCACAAACACTCCTGACTGCCTGATGGCTCCACCAACAGTCTTGCGCTGAAGCCTTTTATGTTACACACCAGCAAATCTTGCTCACCGTCTTCCCAGGTAACTAAGGTACGACATAATGCCAAGTCAATCAGTAACTCTGTGTTGACAGGCACCTAATGCCAGCGCTCACGAGCTAGGATCACTCCAGCATGAATGGAGCAGACAAACTTACTTTCATGTTCTTCATGCACTACTATGTTTACATGGTCAACACACGACTGGATATCGTTCCACGTGATAAATTCATTTCCTTCCGCACGCATTTGAGCCTTGAGCTTCATCAACTCATCAATGTATCTGTCAAGGAACAAAAACCAAAACCAAGCAACGTCACATGGCAACACGTTGGCCAGAGGACGCAGAGCACAGCGTGAGAATCGTACCGGAAGCGGCAAAGGCAACAGGAGGGCTGAAAGTGGAATAAACATAAAAAGGCGGAAGGAAACAAAAACGAAGAGCTGTGTGCAGGATGGTCGGCCCAAGATGGGAAATAATCAACAACAGTACAAACACACTGAACGAGGGCCCAGGGCAAAGAACACAGTGGGCAAGCTGGCACAGTGTTAGCGACCACCAGCTTTAACGAGAAACCTGTGAGAAAACCCTGAGACAGTGCAGAGGTCGGAGCATTAGGAAACTGTAATCACAAACACAAGAGCCAACGGAGGTTAAATCAACACAATAATAAATAATGTAGAAAGAATGTGAAGTGTAAGAGGGGAAAAAAAGTTCAAGAGAGTCATAGAATATAAGCAGCATCAAGGACAGATGTGATTCCTTGAAATATCCACCTCTGGGAGTTCTCATCCTCAATGTTCGTGAGCCCTGTGACAGGACTGCTCAGTTGCTTCCACACTGTGTTCACATCCCCTGAATCCAAAGCCCTGTTAATCAGGGCCACAGAAGAGAGCATCTCTACAGCAACAGACAGTTCTGGGTGGGTGAGGTTACCCTGCATACAGAGAGGACAACAAATTAATTCCACTCGCTCTCGACAGACTGCCGCTGCGCACAGAACCGTTACCAGAACGGACGTGTAACAAAGCAAAGGGACCACCTTTTCGACACAGAAGTAGAAAGATGGGTATCAATCAGAGCTAGAACACCAAGTAAGAGATTAAAGTAGAATCTTACAGAGTCAAGCAGCTCAAGATTTAGGAATTAAACTTCACACCAGAACAGCCTGAACGCCAACGCAGTTCTGCGAAGACCCAAGACAGGTTTGTTCCAGGGAACAGACACGGTAGAGCCGGTGAGCCCTACCAAGTTCCTGAAGTGAGAGAGAATGTGGTACTTACTTCAGGGCTCTGTTGCTGCAGCGTGGCCAGCTCCCGCTGGTAAAGATCTGCAGCAAACACATAAACCTCTGGTAACTGGGCCTCTGGATTCATCATTTCTGCCACGGTCTTCTCAGCATCACCCATTCGAACTGCAGAATTAATTCTGGCTACTGCTGCCAGCCCTGTGAGGTGAGAAAGGTAGCATAAGGAAGGAAGAAGGCAGACAGCGGAGTCCCCAGCAGTAAGGGCACTTTTATTCCACTCGACAAGCAGGTACCTAACAAGAAGAGTAACTCCCTTAGCTGTAGGAACAGAGCCAAGCTTTCTGATCCATACGTCGCCAGTTAGACTTCCACTGCTGCAGCCAGCCAACACACAGTGCCTTCTTTAGAACACAGCTCATGTTTTAAACCACTTCGCCCTTTTGCCTGTTTACCAAAGGATCGTTTTATCTTTCCAGTCTTCTGAGAGTAAGAAGCCTCCAAATTGCAAACCTTTGGATGGATGAGCAGAGAGCTCCGCATGGTGTCAGAAGCACCAATTAAAAACCAATCGGCCACCGAGGGCTCCATTTGATTTGCTACCTGATATTTAGAAAGAGTTACCAGCTCTGTAGCTCAAACCAAGTCAGACTTCTGCGGGTGGTCAGCAGGTAACCCAGCTTTCACACCTCCTGAAGCAATCCAAACTTCCTTCACAGATCCATCAAACAAAAACTCGCACAAGCGTTGCAGACAAGGAGTTACTTAAGGTGGATGCAGAAGTTCCATGTTCCTCAACAATTCAAATTCCATGCTGTTATCTCTGGCAGTGTTATAACAGCTGACTAAAAGACACTACAATCAAACAGGGCCACCATCTCCAAGTACTTCATGGCTGCTAAGAACATTAAAGAGCATTCCTAACACTGAGAGACCTCACATATCCCCACACAGACCCAACTTATGGTGCTCTTGTCCTTTTGACCACATCCACAGTCACTCTGCTCAAGAATTTCTGCTGATCCTTACTTTGCTGATACTGTTGCGCTGCCCTGTTAGCAGCATCCACTCCCAACTGCAACTCCTCCTTCTGCAGGGGGCCTGGGAGGCCAGCCTGAGGAAAGAAAAACTGTGAGGGTGGAAGATTTTAGCTCATTCACTTCAAATAGCCCAAAAAAAGGCAAAAACCCCACCTTTTCCTTAAAGCACGCTAATGCCACACAGCTTCTGCAGACCAAGAATGGCACGTACATGAGGACGACAGAAATTACTTACCAGATTCTCAGTTTGTATGTCGAAAGACCATACGTGCGCAGCCTGATGCCTTTCGCAGTATCAGAAGTGCAGTCCCGTGAGCACAGCAAGGCCCAGCTTCCACAATTATAAAGCATTTAAGACAAAAGGGCCAGCTTGGTGGGACTTCCTGTACATGATGCGTGTGCTGGAGCAAAACTGGTGCTTGTGTAGTTTGCCATGAAGCAACACAGGAATTAACATTCCACTCTACCTCTGAGCAGCAAGGGAAGTAGCAGAACAGAAAATGGACAGCACACAGTTTGGTCTCACACACCCCTCCTCCTCGGACTGAACGGTACCACACAAATACAGAGAGAGAACAAGACGGAGCGCCTGGGGAGCAGGAGGGCTCAAGCAGCTCGGGGAGCAGCCGTCCAGGTCAGGCACCGTTCACACCAACAATGACAATTCTCCAAACACACCACCAGAGCACATCTCTGTAACACCACCTTGGTCACATTCTGGGAGAATGGGGGTCTGACCTGGCAGTTTAGGAAACAGCTGAACTTGGGGTTTGTGGCTACTAAAACACTCAGTAAACATTTTCCCAGTCCTATTTCATCCCTAGAGGCAACTTCGGACAACTACGGAGAGTTTCTGCCACACCAAAGCTTGGCAGGACTTTCTAAAAAGCCCCCCCTTTTCCTATTTTATCTAATTGTAGGTCCCAAGAAGCACAGCTGGTGAAGCTCTTTCTGCAGAAGATCCCTGGAAATAGCCTGGTTGGAAGCCCTGCGCCAGAGCAGGTGGCCCCCGACCTCTGTAGAAAAGGCCTGGAGGGTCCCAGCGGACCCAAGCCTGCCCAGATCTTCCCATCTCTGACAACTTCTTCCCCGTCTGCATTAGATCCACCAAGGGACATTCCCTCACCAGCTCCTCAGTTACGTATGCCAAGAAGCCACCACCAGCACACTCCAGACATGTCCTGGATTCCTCGTGCCCTCCTGTGCCGCCCTTCCAGCAGACCAAGCCGTTCAGGTGCGCTGGCAGCACCTGTCTGAAGGTCGACTCACCGTCCTCCTCTGCCCGATCAGGCAGTCTGCAGCAGACCCTAGCACCCTACACATCGCTCTGCCCGCCAGTCCTGACCCTCAAGCTCCCAACCGGTTTATCAGACATCTCAATGCAGCACCACATGCTCCGGCTGCTCTCCTCAGCTGTAACCGTGTATCTGACCCGGCTGCACTGTTCCCGGAACCAACCGCATGCAGCATCTTACTTGTCTGCCCTGCGGCAGCTTTTAGAACACCATTTGTTCCGAAGATGCCATAGTAATCACCGTCTCCGTACCCGTATCTCTGCACCCTGTTAACATCCATGGCATTGTGATCACAGAGTGCTTTGGGTGGGAAGAGACCTCAAAGTCCCCCCAGTCCCACCCCCTGCCATGGGCAGGGACACCTTATATAGCCCAGGTTGCTCCAAACCTCATCCAGCCTGGCCTTGGACACTCCCAGGGATGGGGCATCCACAGCTTCTCTGGGCATTGATAATTGAGACCATTACAGTTTTAAGAACTATCCTGTGCAGCCTGCACACAAAACCCACTTAAGAATTGGCTTGGCATGAAATACTGAGGTTAACCTTGGCTACAGAATCATTTATGTAGAAAAGACGCTTTTGAAAACAGGGTCCAACTGTAAACGTATACTGCCACGTCCACCACTACATCGTGTCCCCGCGCACCCCGTCTACTAATGGCGTATGATGGGATTCTCCAAAGTGAATGCAGCACGTGCGTGTCTGGTAAGTATTCCTAAAAACACAAATATCCACGTTATTTGGGCACTAACAATAGTAAGTGAGAGGGGAGATGGACCTGTACCATAACAGCTCTATCCACACACACGCCAGTATTTTAAGGTCTGGTGCAAGTATTACACCCACACAAGCGGTACAGGGGCCCTTCACAGGAGCGACGGAGGTGCTTACTGCGTGCTCCCACCCCCTGGCATTAGCTTTTTCAAAGCAACACTGCCCTGAAATGCAGGTAGGTAGGAAGCAGCGGGGGTGCAGTGGTACTGTGACAGGGGGTGGGGGAGCTGCAGGAAAGCCTCACGAATCAGGATCACCTAGATTCTTCCATACCTCCCGTTTCTGTTGTCTATCACTCAAAAACTGCTTGAAATACCAGTCGCAATTTTCTCGTAGCACTCCTCGGAGTCCCAGGGCTGGTGTTGCCAAAGCTTCGTACAGTGCTAACGCGTCTCCTTGTTCCAGAGCCAGGTCGATCTTCACTATGGCTGTGTGTGCTAGCGACAGGAAGGCACGGTTTGGAAAGAAACAGTGAGGACATCCCATGGTTCACATAGCCTGCTCCTCAACAACAAATACTCTTAGACCTGATGGACAGCAATTAGGTACGTGATCTGAACGGAGGACTTCCAAAATCAGCTGCAAAGTAGTACTTGAAAAAGGGGCTGATAGTTGGGAATAGCATGCATTACTCAAGACAAAGAATTGGAGAGGCCAGTGATACGGCCAATCCATTTCCTACAGGCCGGCCAACAGAAGCCAAAATGAATTCAGCTTACAACTATGTGCTAATAATGGGTAAACCAAAAAAACCACCAGCAGAAACTCCACAAAAGCAGGGGAGCTGCCTTCCGCTTCTGTCGGCACTGTGGAAAGCAAGGAGCAGCACGGGTAGCGTTCCTAAGTCCTCTTAATTAAGACTATTACTTTAGCACGATGCCTACCATTCACTTTATTGACGTTTCCCTGAATCTCCGCTTGAGTCAGAAGTTCTTCGTACACATCTCTCTCTCTCTCTGTATTTTCTGAGGCAATCTGAAGAAGAAATAAAAAGATCATCTAATTCAAAGGTCAGGGAGGACAACTGTGTATCTGTAGAGCCGTGATGGCTCAGACAGGGCTTCTCTGTGCCTGTGCAGAGGTAGCCTGGAAGTAAATCCGTGCAAAGGAAGCATGTTGGCAGTCTGACACAAACCGCCTAGAACCACCTTACTGCAACAGCAGGGCTGGGCTGCACGACGCCCGGCATTCTATACCACCACCGACCCCTGCCAAGTGCATCGCTTGCTTTGGCTCGATACTCCGTTGTTACCGTGTGAGCGTTGTTACCGTGTGAGGGGAACAGCATTCCCAACGTCAAGGCTGACATGAATTCTGTGTCTACGCAGCCTGCATTCCAGATGGCTAACAGCAACACAGCCAGCTGCTGCCCGCCTTCTACACCAGGAAAGCAGGTTACTGGGGACACAGATACATCCAAGACTACACACACTGTGAACTCCCCACAGCTTACACCACTACCAAACTGCAAAGCATGCAAGCAGATGGTCTCAGAGCAGAATTGACCTACCCTATTTTTTGCATTCTCCATCTTATCTTGCTTTGCTCTGTAGAGTGTGTCCTGGTAAGTGGATTCCAGTTGATCATCAAGGTTTATTAGCATGGCATTAGGGTTCTTCATTGCCACGAGAGTGTCGGCTGGAACCTGGCGGTCGATTGCTTCATTAATGGCAATGACAGCAGCATGTACTGAAAGAGAAGTCAGAGTCTGCCAGTTAGTCCCAAACCCACCAGTGCTGTTAAACACCGAGAATGTAACTGGAAAGAGCAGGATTATCTGGAAATTAACTGGAAAGCAAAAGAAACACCAAAGTACCTCTCATTCCATCACGGCTTCGTGTTCCTGACAAAACTGCCAGCCTACCTCCCAGGACAACACTCTGGTTAGTAACTCACTGTGTTCCATCAAGGGAAAAAAATACAGAAGGGAAAGAAGAAAACCCTCTTCCCAGTGTCCCAAAAGGCCTACCCCAAGGACTGTACTGTCTCACAACAGGGGACATTAAAGCCAACACCTAACAAAATCCTAATCTTCTGATTTGCATAAATCTATAAACCGAAGCTCTGTTTCCTTACGTGCTGCTTCATCCACGGAGAGTTCGTTCGCGAGGATCCCTCCAATCTTGCTGAAGGCAGGCATCTGAATACCGTACTTCTCCAGCTCAAGCCTCATATTGCTGATTTCCTCCTCTGAAACGTAGATCCGAAGCGTTACGCAGGCTCAGACACGTTAGGAACGAGCGCTGCCCTACCGCCCGCTGTTACAGGAGAAGCTGGGGTAACTCAACAAATGAGGGCTCCTGCTCAGACAACTCCGCGAAGGTGACTCGCCCGGTGCCAAAGCGCGTGAAAGCCCAGAGCCGCTCTACACACCTCCCTAAAAATCTACATTTCTCCCAGAAACTCAGATGGGAGCTTTCCGCAGCCTGTCTCACTAGAAGCTAACACAGAGCTGCCATGAGGAGCTGGAAACAGACTCCATCGTTCCGAGGAGCCTCAGCTGCGGCCGCCAGCAGGTCAGGAAAAGGCACAGGCACTATTTTCGGATTCTTTTCTCCCCGCAGAAGGACCATGCTGAGAAAAGCGAATGAAAGCCATAAATGCCATCCAGCTCAGTGAGAGCCGATGGTTTAGTGCTTTACAGGTAAATCAAGAATGGCAGACAAAGTTTATACACCCCCTCAGACAGAGGCGTGTGCTCCGGCAGGAACTGCACCAGCGCAGACCACGGAATTTGACACTGGCAAAAATCAAGGAACCAAAAATCAAGGCGGCGTGTGGCCACGACTCCGTGCTGACTCCATCCCCTGCTGCAGACCTGCGGCTGATGCAGCACCTTCAGGCACCACCACTTCAAACTGCCAAGGAGGCCACAACAGTTCCTCAAGTTCCAAACTGAAACCCCTCCCAAGGGGATGGAGACCAGGTTTAAGCATCTTTCAGGAACGACCTGTGCCCTGACGGGTGTTCATCTGCCTGGCTCAGAAGCACCAAATCAAACCTTGTTCTTCAATTACCACAGCTCCTCTCAGCCATTACTTCTGAATTTAGTTTGAATTTAGGGTAAGAACAACAGCAATCCTTTAACTGACCCGTCCAAGGGCCAGCAGAGAATGAGGTACAGGCAGCACATATCAGCACGTTCTTGAGTTTTACCTGTGAAGTCCACCTTCCCATATAAATCCTGGATCTGGGGGGCAAGACCCAGTTTGAACAGGTACAGGCTAGAAAAGAAAATAAGCAAAGAATTAGAACCCGGAATTTTTCCCTGTGGTTCTGACAAGGGTAGATAATTTTAGGAGATGTAGATTCCACAGCCACTCAGGTAAGCCACTGCAGCAGCTCCTAAGGGTGAGCTGACTCCTCTTTCCCCCTCAGCGGCACATAACTGCTCCACCACTCTCGAGTCTTCTCAGAACTACAGGATGGTTGAGGCTAGAAGGACACTCTCCCGTTTGTTTTGTTCATGCTTCCTCCCTGTCGTGGTTTAACTCTGGCTAGCAAAATACCACTGAATCCAGCACACTCCCCAAACAATGTCACATTCCCCAGGATCACATCCAGAGGGCTTTTGAGTATCTCCAAGGGTGGAGAATCCACAACCTCTGTGGGCAGCTTGTGCCAGCCCTCAGTCACCCTCACAGGAAACACAGTTTCCCGATGTTGAGAGGGACCCTCGTGTGGGTCAGTTTATGCCAGGTACCTCCTGTCCTGTCGTGGGGCACCACTCTGAAGGGAGCCAGGCTTCATCGTCCCTGCACCCTACCCCAGACAGCTGCTCACACTGCTAAGATTTGCCTGGAGCCTTCCCTTCTCCAGGCTGAACAGTCCCAGCTCCCCGCCTTTCCTCGGAGGAAGATGCTCCAGCCCCTTCATCATCTTCGCGACCCTTCCTGCAGCTCTCCCCAGTATGTCCGACTCTCGTGCTGGGGAGCCCAGAGCTAGACACGGCACTGCACGCGTGGCCTCACTGGTGCTGAGCAGGAGGGAAGGGTTCACTACGCTGACTCGGCTCACAAAAATGGTGTTCATGGATTCACTTGGAGCCTGACAAGAAATGGAACTGCCACAGGAGCGAGGAATCCATACGTCTACAGACAAGCAGGACCGGGGAAAGAGAAGCACCTCCTCTCCTTTTTGCCTATGGCGGCAGCTCAGGGCACGGCCAGGATAAGGAACACGTGCCAGCCAGCTCCCAGCAGAAAGCGGCTACAG